AAAACTGCGCAAAACATGTACATCTCTACGTACTGCGAGATGTACATCTCTACGTTACTCCACTGTCATTCTGTTCGTCATTGTCGGACCAGAACCACCGGCTGGTGCCTGTAACGACATTATGCATCGGCAAGTCGGACCGTCCGTGTCACACACTTCCCCGGCATACAGACACCGATAACAGATGCCCTGAACGCGCATATCAGGAGAATCGTCCCCGTCGCCGGCATCATTAACGTGGTGAATGTAAGTGCTACAATTTAGCAGCAGTCGGTGTTAATTTTTAAGGTAAATGTCTCGGGCAGTTAAAAATGCTACTGTACGTGTTTTTCAGTTTTTGCTTTCTTCGTGGGAATCGCTTCTGACGGCTACGTAATCCGAAATTTCCTTGACATTTATAAGTAGTTCCTTAACGAAAACATTCGGATTGTTTAGCAAGTGGAAAGATGGGATATCAGAGCGTTCGGCCAGTTCATGGCTCAAGGTCCACAAGTTTCCGGCGGAAACTTTTTGGCCTGGAATTGTTAAGTAGCTGGCATCAGCGTCCGGAATGCTGGAAACTGCATAACTGGTCGGCGGTTCTGCAGCTTTGGCTGATGGAATGGTAGCAGCCACAATCAAGGTAACTCACAGGCATGTGTCTCTCAAAGGTCACATTTATGTTATACATATTTATATTATATATGCACGTATTTACGTACCATGCACGGCGATAGTGCATGCGATTGTTTTTCCCAAAAGTCCCAGATTAAAGGCCAAGTACCCTTTCTATTTCCTGTGATTGTGCTGAGTACTGATAATACGTGCATATATAATATAAATATGTATAACATAAATGTGACCTTTGAGAGACACATGCCTGTGAGTTACCCGTCATGTTGCTCTTATATGTACTGTATCGATACAGTTCATATAAGAGCAACATGAGGGGTTCAGCAACTCCCGCGGTTCAGCAACTTGTTTACACCAATACTGAGCTTTTTGAATGATTTCTGTTTAGTTTAGCCAAGTTTTTCTGCAGTCCGCATGAGTGAATACGTTAATTAATGGGATTTGTAGCTGTTTGTACGTACTGGAGCGAGTGTAAGTATGGAGAGCGGTGTCAGGAGTACTTGACAGCCAACAAGCAGCCGACAACCCCCGCGCTCCGTGGTCATGACTCAAAACCACCTCTTGAACCGACCTGGTCGAAACGGGATGGGCACTACCGTGGCTAACCCCGCACTTCAAATTCAGACGAACAGTGTAAAACAGCGTAACTGCGAGTCTAGGCGTTAAGGGATTTGGCCCGGTACATAGCATAAATTCGTGCACATACACGGGAATATTCGCTTTCGCGCACTTCCAATCACTTTTTTGGGTTGCTTTTTGACAATGTGTAGACAAATGATCTGTATACATAAGCGTGAAATCCGTTTTCGCGCGCAACATCCGGTTGCGAAGTTATGAGGGTAACAAAATTCCAGAAAGTTTAAATGCATTCAGATGTACCAAAAGTCTCATTATCGACCGATCCCTTTCAAATTTTGCACGTAAATGCACATAACCATGAAGATCGTTCTTACACGGATCCAGACTTCCACGATTTTTTTCGAATTTTAAAATGAATTTTAAAATTTTTGAAATTCATTTTAAAATTTGAAAATCATGCTAGAACAGTGGATCGGTGTAAGAACGATCTTCATGGTTATGCGCATTTACATGCAAAATTTGAAAGGGATCAGTCCATAATGAGACTTTTGGTACACCTGAATACATTTAAACTTTTTGGAATTTTCTAACAGCCATAACTCCCGAACCGGATGTTGCGCGCAAAAACGGATTTCACGCCTATGTATACAAATCTTTTGGCTACAAAATACCATAAAGCAATGCAAAAACGTGTTTGGTAGTGCGCGATAGCGAAAGTTCCCGTGTACGTACACGAATTTGGTGCTATGTACCGGGCCAAATCCCTTAAGATTGCCACGTTTTTCTGTTGTTTGCATTAATTTATACGCTAATTACCGAGATTTTCAACTATTTAGACTAGAGCGAGTGCGAGTATCGAGAGCGGTATCAGTAACCAAACCAACAGGCTGCCGACCAGTTGGTACCTCCCGAACGGACCTGGCCGAAACGGGAAGGGCACCGCCTGGCCTTGACCGCACAGCACGAGAACCAAACGTACAGGGCAAAAAAATCGTAATTGATAAAATGGCCTGATACCGTCCGGCCAGCGTAAGCGAGCATGCCGCTCCTAGATGCAGACGCCGGAAACATCAACAGTAGGGAATAACGAGATAAGACTGGCTGATTCACCACTCACCAGTCGGACATGCTGCTAGCGCTGCGCGAGCGCAGTGAGTAAAATGAGAAATTGAGTACATACCAAAGCGTTCGTTCCTTATCTGCAGAATTCAGTGCCGTTTCATCCAGTCTCGCTCACGAAAGCCGTGAACACTTTTCCTGAGCATTATTATTATTATTATTCATCGTGGAGCAGGTAGCCCATTTCCGGCTAGGGTGACATTCTAGCAGGGATTTTAAACCTGGCCAAATAGCAAAATCGAGTGCAGATAGACAGAAAAGACCTCTTAAACAAAATTAACACGGTTCAAAGCTTGCTTAAAGGCACCAATAGTACGGATAACGAACAGATCAGAAAAATTCGAATCAACAAAAAATGTCCACAATTTATTAAGTTTCCAAGCAAAGGTCGTCTCGCCAACTTTCTTCTTCGCTTCCGCCTTGATCAGGATGCGGTTTCTATTCCGAAGGTTGTACGGCTTGATACGGTCATCAAATTCCACCATCTCAGAGATGTACTGCGGCACATGGAATTTTTCCGGATGTTTGATCTTGTACAACCATATCGCTTCCTTTTGTTTCCATCTCGTGAAAAGCGGTAGGATCCCATGTTGGTTCATGAACGATCCCATGTTGGTTCATGAATTACATTACTTAACTGTCTTAACTTTAAAGTTTTGAACTTCGTTTAGCACCAGTGTGCAAGGAAGAAGCAACGTGCATGTAACGAATCCGTCTGTTCTGTTCTTTACGGATTATCATCATGTTCTGTTTCGGATGTCGGTGGATATATTATAATATTCTTATAACACTCTGTGGATTTCGCCGATATTTTGATTAGTATACTGCCATATTGCGGGAATGTGCTGCCAGGACGTTACAATAATTATGCTAGTCTGGTACGAACTAAAAGTACAAGACAAATACGAACTAAAAGTACAAGACAAATTATTGGATTACCATTCTGTCTGGCGCGTGGTGCATCCGTTAGTGTTGTAAAACTGCCTGTACATACAATTGCTATTAAATTTTGATTGTGATTTATTAAACGTGCATGTTTGAACATGGGCAATATTCTACTGTGTTCGAGACTGAAAAAAAAACAGTTGCATACACACAGCTGGGCTAGATCCATCGTAAGAATTCTGAATTAAATTAGAAAAGAAGAAATTCTTTTGAAACAGAATTATGTAATAACTGTTATCTGGAACACTAATGCTGTAGTGAGTGTAAATAATGCTTGTGGTTACGATTTCGCATGCAAACTGAATTATGTATGTTTTTATGATTGTATTTATGTACTGTATTTATGTTGGTAGGATATCGCTACGAGGGATATCTATATATGCATTTGTGTGTACACAGCGAAACTATGTACTTTGTACGTATTTGTTAATTTTGATTTATTTTAATCCACTAAACTTAACTGGCATCGAACGGAAGGTTTACTTTACTGAAAGATTAAAGAAAAATACCTACAGCATCTGACTATATGTGAAAATATAAGAAATTATTCATATTAATTTACAAGAAATATCCATAAGTATTTCTACATTTTATTATTTTTAATAAATTATTTTTAATAATTATTTTTAATTTTTACAATTGTTTTTAAGAATTATTAATTTGCCGATTTTGCTAATACGCACCGTCGCGCCGATAAAGGTAGTTGGCTAATTATTTTTTTACGGTGTACTGGTTAGCACTTTACAGCAGTGCCTCGGCCAGAAGACTCCGAAGTCAGGACAGAGTTTACTTCGACTTGTGTGTTACCGCAGTGCTAGGAAGGAATGTGAGATAGGGATTTCGGCAGCCTTTGATGCTCAGTCGGAAACCAAAGCCAGACGTTCGTCCACAATTGTAAAGCACAATACGTATTTCTTTAAATCTGGTGGCTGCTGACTAGTGGTATTCTGCATTACAAACCATCCTGTCTGGGAAATGGAAACTGACAATAAACCGAACTTCATTGTTAAATTAACCAAATGTCGAAAGTTATTCCTTATGAGTTATGATGATCATCGAACGCAGTAACAAAACTGGTTTTTCTTCGTAACTAATGAATTTTTGTATGCGCTGAACCACGCCAAAATCTGTATTTATAAAGTAGACACTGCAAAAATCAGGGCAAGTTTAACCAGGGTTTACATTTACTCTGCCAAAGGCAATTCGTTTTCGTAATATAAAAATAGTTAAAAATTAATGATAACAATGATTTTACTTAACAGTACTATAATAATGATTTTTGATCAACAAGAATGATAATAATAATAAATTATAGCATTGTTTTCCAGTCTTGTTGCTGACCTTAACAAGCAAAGGCTCGTAGAAGCGAGCATGTTGCATAATGTCTGGTTTTGCTTTCGTAATGTCTGGTTTTCAACTCGTTTACAAAGCATTGCGTACCGTAATTCATGATTTCCACGAAATGTCTGGAAATTTTAGAGAGGAATTCGCGACGGGAAGGAAAGTCAACGTCATGGAATGTGGGCGGTCGGAAATGCCGTGACGTGTCGATGTGGGCTGGCACAGTCTCGATGTCTGCCACTGAATTGGGTGTGGCGCAATACGAACGCCTCCCGGCGTTTCCCATTGCGCAATTTCCTGCGCTCGGGGCGGGGACATCTCAGACTAGCGCAGGCAACAGGTACAACCAGCAGCTCGGCTAGCTAGCTGCCGTGCAAGTGAAAAGTCGAAATTGGCATGTCGTCATTCCTCGTTCAGTGTGTCTTCGTAGCTGTTATCAGTTTAACCTTCCAATTCTGGTGTGATATTCCGAGCGTTGTTTTGAATCTCTACTGTTTTCTATTGATTCAGATTGAAGTAATTCAGGTAATTAGGAACGGTTAAATTTGTAGATTTTTCTCTGACAAATATTACAGCTACCGTACACTAATACCGATTTTTGCATTGAAGAGAACGGCTGAGCGATCCTAATCACGCGTCGAACGTTCCCAAGACACAGACATCCGTGAAATCGAAGACTTCCATCGTTTTGGACGTTTCCTCGAAGTATCCCTCCTACAGTCGGTGAGTGTTTCGTTTTTCTGGGAAGATTTTTGTATTTTTTACAGTTCCTGATAGCTGATTCGTATCAGTTTGCTTAAATGCGTAAAGAAATTAGTACGAACGTAATTTGCTTAAATATTGGTTTGCCGTTTGCGCTTTTTCCGTTGTGCCAAGATAATTTTCAGTATTTTCGTTTCTCCCGTCGATACTAGCGTTTGTTACCGTTTTATCCTTGCACAACCTTAATTTCTGTCATGCTCGGAGCTGTTTAGAAGATGTAATTAAGTTAGTTAGTCGTCAAGGGCAGGTTTTCTTTTCCCAGTTGGACTAGCCTTCACACGCGTCGATTTACTTAGAGAATCGGTTGTATGGTAGCAGGAAGGTTTCATTAATGATTCGTGGTACTATCGTATAAAAAAAGGAGAGTTTTTAATAGAAAATGTTCGTGTTTGTCTGGAAAACCGAAGAACTTCGGCGGCGTTAGGATGATGCAAGCGTGCTGTACGGTTGCTCGTGTCTGGCAGGGACGTAGTTGTAACGGTTGGCAACGAGTCGGGAAAACGGCGGGCTGTTTTGCGCACGTCGCGCTACGGGCGCGTGGCGTTGGCGTTGCGCAAATGTTGGCAGCGCCACTAGTACGGAGTTAACAGTACGTAATTTACGATTAATAAGTAACGCGGGCATTGCACATTGCGTACGTAGTATTGCTTTAATAGTTGGTAGATGTATTGTACAGTACTGATGCAGTCAGGTTCAGCATACCATAAACATGCGCAATATGTAATCCGTGCTACAGATACTACTAATTTTAATAATAAATTACTCAGTTAGCGTTTTCATTCCCTGAATAATGCCTAATTTTAAAAATTACTTGATACCAATTTTTCTGATTAGAATTACTGCACATAATTGTGTGGCCTTTGTGGTGGTTTTATGTGCAGAGCTAGCTTTCACCGCAGTCAAAGTGAAAGCATTTACAACACATGGTACCAACAATTTTTTTGAAATGGTTGATTCTTGCGGCTCGCCGCAGTTATCTAGATATTATGGTAGACTGCCTGAATTTATGAATTGAGCAGCGTGCGATTTCGTTCTTACTTACGGTACTTATACTGTATTACGAAAATAATAATCCTTAAGTTTCCGCATATATTCTTGCATGGTTTTTCTTGTTAGTTGGATAAGTACTAACTAGTTAATCAGCTGTCAGTGCAAAGTTATAAAAACGCTTACTTAATTTGTTACTTTTTGACGTGCTTATTCATTATAATTTTTATTTATTTGCTCAATAACTAAGTCTGATAATGAAATAATTGTAACTTAGCTACAACATTTTCTGATTTGATTTACATAGCGTTGGGATCGAGCACTTGTATCACATCTTCCCTAAAAAATCCATTTTCTTGTACTACAGCAAAAGCAGCGTACTGCCAAAAACCATATTTGCATCTGTTGAAATTTTTCGGCGGTTTTGATGCTTCTGATCTGATAAATCAGCGAAAAATATTACGTTAACAATGATTTTTTGCTGTCTATGGCAGTGAGAAGAAGGCAGCAGAAGCCGTTTTGTTCCAAGCTGTATGGTATCCCCGTTTGAAAGGCAGCTTTTGAGAACATGGCTTTTTATCATAAAATAGTAGTAACTACAAGCACTAAATTACAGTCGTGTGTACGTTCTGAAATTGAAATTGCAAACTGACGTTTGAACAATTAAATTCGTACTTATGGAACATGGCCACAGACAGATATTGGAATTCCAAAATGATATCTACGTCATACCGCATGCACCACGGAAGTGCTTGTGTTTGCAGGAAAATGAACTTCCCGGCCTGTACAACGTTGTTGTGTGGCATCGTCATCCTGGTCGCCGTAGTGGGCCCCGTCGCAGCAGCAGGCGCCAGTGACGGCGTAATGACACGGCTGACGCGTATCACCTTCACCGGTTCAGAGGCACCGCTTATGGACGGATTAGCAACAGTGATGGTGATCATCATTTTTGCTGGCTCACTCATTAACGTTGTCGATGTAAGTATTCAAAATTTATGTGTTAAACTCTTTATTTCAGCAGCAGCTTTTCAGTTTTTTTCCCGCCGGTTAAACTTATGGTGTATTGAAATCGCTGCGAAATTACTTTGCGAAGGATAACATTGTTGTACATGATGAATTAAAATAATAGCAGTTAATAAATACATACAAAATTAATAAAATAGTACAATGTTTATTAAAGTGACCAATAAAGGCAGATATGTAATACGTATAAATAAAAAATTAAATTTGGACAACAAGTAGTAGTGACTACGCAAAGTAAAATTGACCGAAAAATAAAATTTCAACAACAGCAATTCTTTTGTACCATAAAATATATGTGTCATTGCTCTGATAACTGTGGGGATTAACGAATTTATTTACATATTTACATTTACGAACGCGAACATATTTACAGTAATAAAAGCGCATTGGTCTAATTCCTTAATCTAGGTACCTGCTGATCCAAATTGTGCTTTGTTTCAGTTCGTCAAGCGTTTCACGGTTGGCGCGCGGGTCTGGAAACCAGAAGGTACAATTGTTAATACCTTGCATCATGGCGATCCTTTTTTAATGTACAAACTGGTTTATGGGCACTCGGTATTAGAGTATTTGTGTTCTGCAGATCACGGACGCAGTGGTGTGGCCGTTCACTCCGGAGGAACTTGTGGACCAGGCGCAGAAGGCCCGGTCAACCATGGAGGGTCTCGCCAAGTCCTGGAGCCTCGACCACCCGCAACAAGATCACGTGCACCAGTTCATGTTGGTCGCAAAGACCTTTATCGAAGTGCAGGTGGCGATTGGATCGCAGTTCGCCGTGAAGCAGATTGCGGATCTGCGTGAACATTTGGCGGAAACGATTGGTGCAGGGTTCGACCGCGTTAATGACCACCTGAAGCTCATCCATGGCCAGGCCGAACGGGCTGAAGCAGGGATGATTCGTCTGGAGGACAAAGTGGAGAGACTGGAGACCAGAATGACAGCTGTGGAAACCGAAGCGAAAGAAACTCGCGTCGTGGTGGAGGAAATGCGCAACGCGATGGACGACATGAGCATCGAGATGTTAGCAGCGAGCTCCGGGATCAGTGACCTAAAAGCGATGTTCACTGTGCTTTCCGTACATACCGGTCTCAACATGTTTCTGGAATGACCGCTTCTTACGCCCACTTATTTCTTTTGCTTACCTTGTTGAATGTTGGGCTCACTTGTTTTTTTGTTGTTTAGCCCACTTTGTTGGACTTATTTGGAATTTGCACTTTTGGATTTTTAGTGGGCTACGTGCCCTTTTTTGTTTGTTGTAATTGCGCTCGAATCAGGTATAACTGATAAAATTTGAGCAATTTCCTGGATTGTTCACAAAAGATGAAGAAAAACACGGACTAGGAAGCGTTTTGTAAGCGAAGTGGTTGATATTTCATAAAATCTATGTAGTTCTACGACACTGTGTTCACAATCAAAAACAGTTAGAGCTTAGTAGCTTTATCGGAACTGGCTGAACTGAGAGAAGACGCATAGAAGATGGGCGTAAGCAAGATCAGTGTAATCTGCGATCTTCGTACGATGGCAAAAGAGAAAAAGAATTCGTTATAGCAGTTATTGTACGAATTTGTAGGAACATACAATTGTACGAAATTCTGTCTATGAAATACCGGTTCGCTCTGCATTTTTTGGTTTGTCAGCGGGCTACATGCCTTACAAGTACATGCCTAGTGTGATTGGCAATAACGATCCAGAAGTTCATATCCTTTTTAGCTCGCTAGATTTGATCGCTACCCTGCTTTTGCTTAATTAGGGAAGATTCATCATGCAGCATAGTAAATATGCAACACTCCCAGTGCCGGGTGGTGGTACGCGGCCGTCAACGACTTACGCCCAGTGCCGGGTGGTGGTACGCGGCCGTTAACTACTTCCGCCCAGTGCCGGGTGGTGGTGCGCGGCCGTCAACGACTTCCGCCCAGTGCCGGGTGGTGGTACGCGGCCGTCAACGACTTCCGCCCAGTGCCGGGTGGTGGTACGAAGCCGTCAACGACTTCCGCCCAGTGCCGGGTGGTGGTACGCGGCCGTTAACTACTTCCGCCCAGTGCCGGGTGGTGGTACGCGGCCGTCAACGACTTCCGCCCAGTGCCGGGTGGTGGTACGCGGCCGTTAACTACTTCCGCCCAGTGCCGGGTGGTGGTACGCGGCCGTTAACTACTTCCGCCCAGTGCCGGGTGGTGGTACGCGGCCGTCAACGACTTCCGCCCAGTGCCGGGTGGTGGTACGCGGCCGTCAACGACTTCCGCCCAGTGCCGGGTGGTGGTACGTGGCCGTCAACGACTTCCGCCCAGTGCCGGGTGGTGGTACGCGGCCGTCAACGACTTCCGCCCAGTGCCGGGTGGTGGTGCGCGGCCGTCAACGACTTCCGCCCAGTGCCGGGTGGTGGTACGCGGCCGTTAACGACTTCCGCCCAGTGCCGGGTGGTGGTACGCGGCCGTTAACGACTTCCGCCCAGTGCCGGGTGGTGGTACGCGGCCGTCAACGACTTCCGCCCAGTGCCGGGTGGTGGTACGCGGCCGTTAACGACTTCCGCCCAGTGCCGGGTGGTGGTACGCGGCCGTCAACGACTTCCGCCCAGTGCCGGGTGGTGGTACGCGGCCGTTAACGACTTCCGCCCAGTGCCGGGTGGTGGTACGCGGCCGTCAACGACTTCCGCCCAGTGCCGGGTGGTGGTACGCGGCCGTCAACGACTTCCGCCCAGTGCCGGGTGGTGGTACGCAACCGTTAACGACTTCCGCCCAGTGCCGGGTGGTGGTGCGCGGCCGTCAACGACTTCCGCCCAGTGCCGGGTGGTGGTACGCGGCCGTTAACGACTTCCGCCCAGTGCCGGGTGGTGGTACGCGGCCGTCAACGACTTCCGCCCAGTGCCGGGTGGTGGTACGCGGCCGTTAACGACTTTCGCCCAGTGCCGGGTGGTGGTACGCGGCCGTCAACGACTTCCGTCCAGTTCCGGGTGGTGGTGCGCGGCCGTCAACGACTTCCGCTTAGTGCCGGGTGGTGGTACGCGGCCGTCAACGACTTCAGCCCAGTGCCGGGTGGTGGTACGCAACCGTTAACGACTTCCGCCCAGTGCCGGGTGGTGGTACGCGGCCGTCAACGACTTCCGCCCAGTGCCGGGTGGTGGTGCGCGGCCGTCAACGACTTCCGCCCAGTGCCGGGTGGTGGTACGCGGCCGTCAACGACTTCCGCCCAGTGCCGGGTGGTGGTACGCAACCGTTAACGACTTCCGCCCAGTGCCGGGTGGTGGTACGCGGCCGTCAACGACTTCCGCCCAGTGCCGGGTGGTGGTACGCGGCCGTCAACGACTTCCGCCCAGTGCCGGGTGGTGGTGCGCGGCCGTTAACTACTTCCGCCCAGTGCCGGGTGGTGGTACGCAACCGTTAACGACTTCCGCCCAGTGCCGGGTGGTGGTACGCGGCCGTCAACGACTTCCGCCCAGTGCCGGGTGGTGGTACGCAACCGTCAACGACTTCCGCCCAGTGCCGGGTGGTGGTGCGCGGCCGTCAACGACTTCCGCCCAGTGCCGGGTGGTGGTACGCGGCCGTCAACGACTTCCGCCCAGTGCCGGGTGGTGGTACGCGGCCGTCAACGACTTCCGCCCAGTGCCGGGTGGTGGTACGCGGCCGTCAACGACTTCCGCCCAGTGCCGGGTGGTGGTACGCGGCCGTCAACGACTTCCGCCCAGTGCCGGGTGGTGGTACGTGGCCGTCAACGACTTCCGCCCAGTGCCGGGTGGTGGTACGCAACCGTTAACGACTTCCGCCCAGTGCCGGGTGGTGGTGCGCGGCCGTCAACGACTTCCGCCCAGTGCCGGGTGGTGGTACGCGGCCGTTAACGACTTCCGCCCAGTGCCGGGTGGTGGTACGCGGCCGTTAACGACTTCCGCCCAGTGCCGGGTGGTGGTACGCGGCCGTCAACGACTTCCGCCCAGTGCCGGGTGGTGGTACGCGGCCGTTAACGACTTCCGCCCAGTGCCGGGTGGTGGTACGCGGCCGTCAACGACTTCCGCCCAGTGCCGGGTGGTGGTACGCGGCCGTCAACGACTTCCGCCCAGTGCCGGGTGGTGGTACGCGGCCGTCAACGACTTCCGCCCAGTGCCGGGTGGTGGTACGCGGCCGTCAACGACTTCCGCCCAGTGCCGGGTGGTGGTACGCGGCCGTCAACGACTTCCGCCCAGTGCCGGGTGGTGGTACGCAACCGTTAACGACTTCCGCCCAGTGCCGGGTGGTGGTACGCGGCCGTCAACGACTTCCGCCCAGTGCCGGGTGGTGGTACGCGGCCGTCAACGACTTCCGCCCAGTGCCGGTGGTGGTACGCGGCCGTCAACGACTTCCGCCCAGTGCCGGGTGGTGGTACGCGGCCGTCAACGACTTCCGCCCAGTGCCGGGTGGTGGTACGCGGCCGTTAACTACTTCCGCCCAGTGCCGGGTGGTGGTACGCAACCGTTAACGACTTCCGCCCAGTGCCGGGTGGTGGTACGCGGCCGTCAACGACTTCCGCCCAGTGCCGGGTGGTGGTACGCAACCGTTAACGACTTCCGCCCAGTGCCGGGTGGTGGTGCGCGGCCGTTAACTACTTCCGCCCAGTGCCGGGTGGTGGTACGCGGCCGTCAACGACTTCCGCCCAGTGCCGGGTGGTGGTACGCGGCCGTCAACGACTTCCGCCCAGTGCCGGGTGGTGGTACGCGGCCGTCAACGACTTCCGCCCAGTGCCGTGTGGTGGTACGCGGCCGTCAACGACTTCCGCCCAGTGCCGGGTGGTGGTACGCGGCCGTCAACGACTTCCGCCCAGTGCCGGGTGGTGGTACGCGGCCGTTAACTACTTCCGCCCAGTGCCGGGTGGTGGTACGCGGCCGTCAACGACTTCCGCCCAGTGCCGGGTGGTGGTACGCGGCCGTCAACGACTTCCGCCCAGTGCCGGGTGGTGGTACGCGGCCGTCAACGACTTCCGCCCAGTGCCGGGTGGTGGTACGTGGCCGTCAACGACTTCCGCCCAGTGCCTGGTGGTGGTACGCAACCGTTTACGACTTCCGCCCAGTGCCGGGTGGTGGTGCGCGGCCGTCAACGACTTCCGCCCAGTGCCGGGTGGTGGTACGCGGCCGTTAACTACTTCCGCCCAGTGCCGGGTGGTTGTGCGCGGCCGTCAACGACTTCCGCCCAGTGCCGGGTGGTGGTACGCGGCCGTCAACGACTTCCGCCCAGTGCCGGGTGGTGGTACGCGGCCGTCAACGACTTCCGCCCAGTGCCGGGTGGTGGTACGCGGCCGTCAACGACTTCCGCCCAGTGCCGGGTGGTGGTACGCAACCGTTAACGACTTCCGCCCAGTGCCGGGTGGTGGTGCGCGGCCGTCAACGACTTCCGCCCAGTGCCGGGTGGTGGTACGCGGCCGTTAACGACTTCCGCCCAGTGCCGGGTGGTGGTGCGCGGCCGTCAACGACTTCCGCCCAGTGCCGGGTGGTGGTACGCGGCCGTCAACGACTTCCGCCCAGTGCCGGGTGGTGGTACGCGGCCGTTAACGACTTCCGCCCAGTGCCGGGTGGTGGTACGCGGCCGTCAACGACTTCCGCCCAGTGCCGGGTGGTGGTACGCGGCCGTCAACGACTTCCGCCCAGTGCCGGGTGGTGGTACGCGGCCGTCAACGACTTCCGCCCAGTGCCGGGTGGTGGTACGCGGCCGTCAACGACTTCCGCCCAGTGCCGGGTGGTGGTACGTGGCCGTCAACGACTTCCGCCCAGTGCCGGGTGGTGGTACGCAACCGTTAACGACTTCCGCCCAGTGCCGGGTGGTGGTACGCGGCCGTCAACGACTTCCGCCCAGTGCCGGGTGGTGGTACGTGGCCGTCAACCACTTCCGCCCAGTGCCGTGTGGTGGTACGCGGCCGTCAACGACTTCCGCCCAGTGCCGGGTGGTGGTACGCGGCCGTCAACGACTTCCGTCCAGTTCCGGGTGGTTTTACGCGGCCGTTAACTACTTCCGCCCAGTGCCGGGTGGTGGTACGCAACCGTTAACGACTTCCGCCCAGTGCCGGGTGGTGGTACGCGGCCGTCAACGACTTCCGCCCAGTGCCGGGTGGTGGTACGCGGCCGTTAACGACTTCCGCCCAGTGCCGGGTGGTGGTACGCGGCCGTCAACGACTTCCGCCCAGTGCCGGGTGGTGGTACGCGGCCGTCAACGACTTCCGCCCAGTGCCGGGTGGTGGTACGCGGCCGTCAACGACTTCCGCCCAGTGCCGGGTGGTGGTACGCGGCCGTCAACGACTTCCGCCCAGTGCCGGGTGGTGGTACGCGGCCGTCAACGACTTCCGCCCAGTGCCGGTGTGGTGGTACGCGGCCGTCAA